TCGTTTCTGTACAAGCGATGCCTTAAATCTAATCTCAACATAGTGGCCTACCAATTCTGAATGCCTGCGTAAAAACGCATATGGTATACCATCAGGACCTATGGATTTCTTATTTTTAATATAAGCAAAAGTGCTATATTAACTTCACAAGACACCTCTAGCACAGGCATTGTTGAAATGTACAAGAATTGTAGCGCAAAGGGGGAAAAATTCATTTGCAGAACAGTAAACACGTATTGGAAAAAAGTTATTAAAACAAGTTGCAATACGAGAGAATTCCGTCACGAGTTCGTTATTAACGACAATGTCTCTAGAACCCTCGTTATCTTGTGACAAAATGGTGCCAAAAACAGTGTGGGTCATTCTTCATAAAACCTGTCAAAGTAACATCATAGAAGGTTTTCTTAGCAGCAGTGAGCTTCGTGCGCAAGGCAGTGCTTAGTGCGTAAATTTCACTGTGATATTTTTTTTACCTTTTTCCGTTCACGGCAAATTTTTCGTTTTAAATGGATGATTTCACGGTTATCCATGGACTCTGTTCATTTTTTTCACTTTTTTGGTATAACCTAACAATGCAGTGAAATACTATATCTTTAAATTCAGCCCACATTGCATTGACGTCATTCGTCTGACTGAAGCTATCTAAACATAGCGAAAGGTGATCAATAATGCTTGTGTCATCGGCTCTGACAAAATTTGGGACATGCGTATTTGTGCTGTCAGTCCTTGGGCACAAGGTCGTATGCTTTATTTCCAAAAACACTAACCTATGATCTTAAATGCCAGCCTCTACTAATACCTCATATTCTTCAAAACACCCGTCCAGGAACACAAGATCCAAAATCGATTCCGATTTACCAATTACGCGCATGCACTCTTGAACTACCTATTGTAAATCATGACTGAAGGCTATATCTAGGAGAAGTTCACAATGATTTTTTTTCGTGAGGCTCCGCACCAAGCTCAGACCATTTGATGTCTGGCAAGTTGAAATCCCCAGAAATAATAATTCGAGAGCTGCGGATCTTTAGGCCTTCTAAGTGAAGCTGCAGATTTTCGAGATACGAAATAGGGGTGTTAGGTGGTGGATATACTGCACCAAGAATTATCGTTGTTTTATCTACTTTCGTGTGTTAGAATGCCAGCCATTTGTACACAGTATATATCAGCCTTGATCACTACAGCAACTCCATCCCCACGCGCATCGCGGTCCCTGCGAATGATTTTATAGTTCGGTGAAACAAGCTCTTGGTCTTCTATTTCGGGCCACAGCCACGTTTCGGTAATTGTGATGATGTGAGGATCATAGTTAGCCAGGATGTATTCCAGGTCTCCAACCTTGTTAGCCAGACTTCTTGCATTCAAATTGATCTAGCGTAATGTGCTTGGATTACATTTTTCTTCCTGTCGGTTATCCTTAAGAGAAGCAACCTCTCTTTTTGGACGCTGAACCTTAGTGCGGCTGTTCTTTGACTCCCACGTGTACTCGTCCGAGTCTGCGTACATGACACCCACTGTCCCTTTCCTGTGTCGCGGAATCCCAGAGCATTTTACCCCTTGCCAATGTTTCCTTCGAAAAGTTATCCGATATAGAGATGCCGCTGCCTTTCAGCTTTCTGCACTGCTTGTAAACGTCAGCCTTTTTTCTGTAGACATACAAACTGAGAATGACGATTCAAGGCCTAAAGCTTTTTTTCCTTATCCTGTGTATTCGTTCCACGGTACTCAAGTTGACACCAAGCCTTTTTTGGAATACATTTACGAGCACCTTCGCTTCAAGATCGGCAGCAGATTCCTTGTCGGTTTCTGATACTCCATGTACCATTAGGCTATTCCTCCTACTTCTGTCCTCGAAGCTCTCTATTCTTTCCTGCTGCTTACTAAGAGTAGTCTCTAATTCCTTAACTGTTTTTGACAATTCAGCTATCAGACTCGCTTGTTCTTTAACCCCTTTAAGGCTGCTTTCTACTACCTTCATCCCCTTGCTCAAGCTTTCTAGATCAGCTTGCATTGCCTTTTGCCCGTCACACAATTCTTTCAACATTGTTTTCGTTTCTGGCCCAGGGTTCATTTATACATCGCTGTAAAGCAATAGACACAATGATACAAAGCCAGAAAAAATCACTTTGGGGCACGGCAGCACAATAAAGCGATCATCATTCTTGTAGCTATAATAACAGTAATAACTAACCTGTTCAAGGAACAGAAGGTGATTAGGCGACATTGCATAACCGTTGTCGTTGTGCCCTCTGAGGCCGTAGGTTGAAGCTGGCTGATTTATAGGGTCAGCCATGATCCGTCTTGCTTGCCGTTAATCACAGTGCCCGAGAGTGGTCCCATTGAGCGCCGATCTTGCCCGCAGACGGCCAGATGGTGCACTGGTTCCACGCATGCAGTTGGTATGATGCGGAAATCGGCATTACCAGTTCAAGGAACAGAAGGCGATTAGGCGACATTGCATAAGCTGTGCCCATGCACATGCTCTTAGCGAAATCACATGCACTTAGCGAATTTTCTATTGCGCATGAGATCTAGTGGCTGGATAGTGCATTATCCAATATTAGTTTGACAAAGAACCATACTTGGTGCTAAATGATTGTTTTCGAATGAGTTATTAGCAGCTGAAAAAGAAGCATAACTGACTGTAAATATACCATTTGGTACATAATAAAGCATGAAACAGCATGCAAAAATAACGGGCGTGGGGAGTGGTTTCAATGGGCTCAGTTCTGTTTTCCCATTTTTGCATGCTATTTCATTTTCATATATGTATTAGGTAATACAGTAGAACCTCGTTAATACGTTTTCGAAAAAAACTCTGAAATTAAGTGTATGATCCAGGAAAACGTACGATGCAAATCCAGCAAAAAATTAGGCTGCCAAGTTCATATAAGTGTTAGAGTGAAAAACCTTTATTTCTCGAAAACAGTCATTTTCTGCTGTTGCTTCTCACCTTTAGACAAGAAAAGCTCTTTCTGCACACATTGCAGACTCTTGTCCGCATTTACATTGTTTTTCCTGGAAAAGAAGCTTTGTTAAGTTTCCAGTTCAGCAAGGGCTTTGCCAAAGTTAGCCGGTCAGCGCACTCTTTCCTTCTCGCCGCTGTCTTCCGGTGCCTCATCCCCCACCTCCTTCACTGCATCGTCCCCTACCTCCTTGCTGCCTCGCCCCCCACCAGCTTTGCAACAATCTCGGCGACACTTTGCGTCTCGCAAGTGTGGGCGTTGTCGTCTATCAAGACAAACTCGACGAAGGGTGTGTCGGCGCTGGTGGAGAGGAACTTCTCATCGATGTCGGCGTCGATGTCAGATGCGCACGTCACAGAGTCGTCTTTGCTGCGCTCTGTGTTCTCTGATGCAAGCTGCCGCTAAAAACCGCATTTCCTGAAACATGTACTCCTTAAGAACGCTGCCATGTAAGTTGATTCCGGAGGCTCGTTTTTGCTTAAACCACTTCGATAGCGCCTCCTCCAGCTCCCCATGGCGTGCTCCACAGGCTTGCTTTGCTGCGCCATCGAATACCAAGGCGTTCGCGATCTCTTTCCGCTTAGACACCACGATACAAACAGTAGACGCTGGCAGTCCTAGTTCGTTTATTATGTCTATTTGTTTCTTCGTTTCTCCTTAATTAACAAGGGCTTGTGCTTCTTCGACGCCATGCCGGACCCTTCTGTCTCAAATCGCGGACTATGTACACTAAACAACATGCTGCCTCGGACAGGGCCCGGCCAGAGGAAACCTGGCGCGGCCTGCATATCCCTAAACCATTCGACATCGGTGTCAGAGTGGACAGGGGTCTCCTTTGGCTGTGATCTGTCACGCATCCTCGGCGTCGTAAACCTTGCACGCCATTGGCTACGTTGTGAGTGACATCGTCTATCTCATCGCTGACGTGGCGCTTCGGTAGCGTGCGCGCTGTGAGAACCTCCACTTGAGTAGGCCAAGGACAACTATTGCAAGGTGCCGACAGTGGAAACATGAGAAAGCTCGCATTCGCTGGGCTGATGGTGCAGTACGAGCATGAAAACACGACTGGGAGGCTGAGTACCGGCAGAAACTGAATACCGATGATCCGGCAGCCTTACACGCTATGATAAATAGCGAAAACCACTGTGCTACAGAAAATAACTGGCATTTTTTGAAAACCGTTTAAAGACTTTGACGGCTAAGACGGGTCTCTGTGTGGGAGAGGGGTGACAATTGAATGCAGCAAAGCAACCGTCGCCGCTGTGTGGCAGCAGTCTGCCACTTGGCGCTTCACAAGCACGCAAGAGGGTTTTTTTTGCTGTTTTTTTTTTTTTTTGCACGCCTGAATTGGAATTTTTGCCCGCAGAAGGTATCATATAACTGCTGTTTACCACAATGCCAAACGATGCTGCCGAATAATCGTATTTTCCGGGAACGCATTAAGCAGAACGTATTAACACATAGATCTATGGGGGCATTTTAGTTTTCGCGATTTCAAGTGTAAGAGCTGAGAAATTGTATTAAACGGGAACATATCAACGAGGTTCTACTGTATATAATTTTTTTTTATTGCTCGCAAATGTTGGCACTGGGAAAATGTATTGTGCAGTAATGTATCAGCGAGGTTCTACTGTATTTTGGTCATGTGTCACAATGATGTCAATGCCTTACAGTCTTACCTGAACTTAGTGTCAAAATTGTAAGTGCGGTATACAGATGATGACTTGCATATGAAGCTGTTCTCTTTGTCCAATATACGTAGTCGTACATCCTGAAATTCAGTTGAAAGGTTTGTTTTTTGTAGGAAGTGTAAACACGCCCTCGATTACCATTGATGACATAACAGTGAAGGCTGCTTTTTGGTCAATACTATATAATTTTTAAAAGCCACTCCATGCTTTGGCAAACAACTAGCTAATTTTAGTTTGCTTGGACATAGGCACTATTTTTCAAGAAGTGTCATTGTTGTCATTTTCTATTATGCACATTTAACAATATGTACAGCTTGCATAATCATATGCATTTTGCTTGCAGGTGGTGCTAATGCTCAGCTCAGATTTAGATAGTGAGGATGACAGAGATCGCGCGACCCTGGACAATTTGCTGAGCAGCTTGATTGGTGAGCTAGAGAGAAACGTGGCTCGTCTGGTCCAGAGGAGCCCATCCTCTGAGGAACAGCTCATTGTCATGCGCCTACTCAGTATCATGATGTCACGCATCAAAAGTTCAGCCAAGGCTTCTGGCCCCAGCGATCCTGCTTGCCAGAACTACTGCAGCACTTCAGCTGCAGTTGCCCTGCATGCTAGCGGCATTGTGGACCACTGCCTAGAGGTAGGCATGCTTCTCAGACTTATACTTAGTGGCAGTGTCCAAGGGACTGTGATCGGGATGGTAACATAATTAAGAAACATCACCAAGGGCAGAAATGCAGATATAAGGAAGCAGTGCGCTGACTCCATACATGAGTCGGCAAGCTCACTCAGGAGAAAACTTTAGTCAGTGTAAGTGAGTCCAGTTGTGGAAAATATTGGCCAGCCTAAGCGAGTCTAAAATGTGAAATGTTTCTCAAGTAAGTCTGAGTGATGTTCACAGTTTTTGCCAGCCTATGGCAGACTTTTAACTGTTATTTTAAGATCATGTAGTATAGGCATTTTGTGCAGTAACATCTGGTGGACAAAATATGAATGACAAAAGAAAAAGAACAGAGATATAGCTACGCAACAAAATAAAAATGACGAATTCACATGCTAATGAATATGAGGTGGCTTGAGATTGTAAGAGATGTTATACTGTAAAAGCTCGTCAATTCGGATCCTACGAGACTAGGAAAAATGGTCAAATTAACCTAATGCCAAACTATCAAAAGTATCAAGAAATTATTAAACTATGGGTGAGTGAATACTTGAGGGCTTCGAATATTTGAAAAAACAACAGTATTTGAATTCACCTTGAAGATGACTTTTAATTACAGTTAAATCCTTTTACAATAGGCATGCTCTGGGCAGCAATTCTCGTCTTTTATATGAGATGTCTTTTCTAAGCAGGGGAACTCGTATGCGCATTCCTATCCCCCGTATTTTACTGTAGGCATGCTGGTGCCTTTCATACCCATTTGTCTCTTATATCAGTGTTTCTTGTAAAGGCGTTTGACTGTACTCGAAATTACTAAGTATCATATTTACTCGCATTATAGGTGCACCCCCAGTTTCGTCGTGAAAAAATCGGGTTTTTTTATGTCTGCGCATAATAGGCGCACCCCGAACTTGGCTGTGATCAGTAGTTCTGTGCAGTATTTGCACATTTCTGATTCGACGTCCTCTTGCTTAACTGGAGCGAGAGAGAGAAAAAAAAAAGATCGTGGCAGTGCTGCGCGGGCTCACCGAGTGTGGAAGAAGGTCGGTTGCCTGGGCACCGAGGCTGGTGTGGCTTCAGCCGTGTGCACTCCGCATAGAAGGTGCGATTGCGTCTTCATTAAGTGCACTTTGAGTTTCCTGTCCGGAAAAGCGTCGTCGCTATCATCTTTACTACCTTGTCCGCAACTTTAAAACCTTTTCGGCTTTCCAAAGCGAGCTCTCACCTTTGCTGCCACTACTCAGGCTTGCACAAGCTCGGCGGACTTGTCTTGCCGTTGATTTTTTAACTGTAAACCTAAACATCGCGTCACGCACGCTGCTCTTGATTTAGTGCTCACTCGTACAAACTTCCCATGACAACTAAGCCTATTCAGCATTTGTTGCTTTTCAGTCGCAGTTGCCGGCAATCAAAGTTGTAGTTTTGTACAGAATCAACACAACTCTTTGCAGTGGCTGAAGGAAAGAGGGCATCGGTGGTGCTTGTAACATTAAAATGATAGTTCAAGACTCGATTGCAGTGTCTTTGGATATGGGTTGAAGGCCTTGAAATGATTGTTTTATACCATTTCAGCACACGAAACTTCGGTCGTGACTATGCACATAACCTAAATGGCCTGAAACCTAATCGTAGAATTTCCGTGATAGTGCTTTTTTTCATCTTTTTTTTCACGTTCATTTTATTAGCAATTCGGGTTTTTCGATATAAATTTTTTAAAATTTGATTGCTTGTAAGCACACCTCATCGTATGCCTTGAATCTCGGACACGCGAAACTGGATGCTCAATACATTTTGCTTATGAAATTAGGTTGTTTCGACTGGAGTGCAGATATCATGACTTGGGCTACTTAGTTATCAGTGGTCTTTGCTGTAGTCTAAAATAAAATTTTCGGAAATTTTAAGCCACATATAGGCACACCTCAAACTTGGTGCTGGATTTTCTGGAAAAAAGTATGCATATTATGAGAGTAAATACGGTATTCAAAAAGAATGCATATAGGTACAGTTGAAACTCACAATAATGAAATCGGCGGGGAAAGCAAAAAAATTTCATTTCACAGGATTTTTTTTGACACGAGAGTGTAGCAGAAAAGGCAGGGAATTGACTAAAAACACATTTTATTGCTAAAAGTCAGAGAGCTTACTTTGCTGTGCTTTCACTGCAGCAGTTTCATTGCTCTTGACTCGCATTGTAAAAAGTGGTCCATTTGCCACGTCATCGTGCTCCCCAAAAAACGAGTGAATTATGTCCATGGTAATCAACACATCTTCGAAGTCACAGTAAACAAAGCTGTCACTGTTTTGATGCTTGCGGTCGCGCTGTTTTTAAAGGGAAACTAAAGGCAACTAGGTATTAAGTCGACGTTGATTGTTGAAAGAGCGGTCCAGAAACCTCGTAGTGTTACTTTTGTGCCAAGGAAGGGCCTATTTTAAAATAAAATCACGTATTAGTAGTCCGCAATAGGTTAGCGCACGTCAAATTACCTGCCTCAAGAAGCAAACCGACCCGAACGACTCACGTCGCTGTTGCCGTGCACAATGTTTTCCTGCTTTACTGCGCTAGTAGCAGCAGACTGAGAGCAGCGGGAGCCATAGCACCAACAACGGCCGTTGATCGATTTCCTGCCATTGGCTCTGAAATTGCAAGCGTATTTTGGTTCAACTAGGCCCCACTAAATGGCACCACCTGTCCAGTTTGACCATGTGAAAATTAAATTTTTGAGCCACTCGTGCTATTACTGTTAGTAATGTCCAGCGGTTCTTTTTTCCAATAATCAAAAAATTATCAAGCAGGATTTTCTTGTGTCCCTTGATGCACGGAAGGTTCTTTTGTAAGAATACTGCTTGAAGCCACGCCGGGGTGAAGCAACCGTTTAATGGGCCTAACAGCACCGACACAGCAGCCAGCGGTTTCAGCAGCAGCTACAGCAGCACGAGCCTCCGCCACAAAAAACGTCCTTTGTCGTTTCTATAGCAGAGCCCGTATTTGTCACTACATTGACTCCCCTGTGCGAAAGGAGCCATTTTGGCGACATATGGCACAGACAGGACTGGTGGGTCGTAGTGAAGTGTTAGACGGTCGACGTGCACAGTCTCGCGCCCGCGGCGCTGTTGATCTGTAGGTGGCTGAATATGTTCAACCATATAGTTGACTGGTGATGTCTGATGCAGGATCCGGTATGGATCATCATACTTGGGTATGAACTTTGAGCAAATGCCTGGGGCAGACGATGGCAGAGCCACACGATTGTTCCAGGCGTGTATGACGAAGGGGATGAGCGTCGGTCATGGGAGTGGTTCTGGCGAGCTAGATCGTGCGTAGTAAGTGAACATGCGAGCTGCCGACAATCTTTGGCATATGTGGCGGCTTCAGCCAAAGTCGTCGATTCTGAAGGGTCTGGGCGGTACAGAAGGATAGTGCCCAAGAACGATGGAGGTTCCCGGCCATAAAGAAGGAAGAATGGGGAAAATCCAGTTGTTGATTGAATTGCGCTATTGTAAGCGTAACTAACGAATGGCAGTATGCGGTCCCAGTTTGTATGCTCATCGGAAACATACATGGAGAGCATTTCACCCAGCATGCGAATAAATCGCTCGGTCATCCCGTTGGTTTGGGGGTGATATGCGATGGTTGTTCGGTGCACGATGTTGCATTCGCGTAGGAGGGCTTCTACAGTTTCCGACAAGAAGGAACGTCCACGGTCACCGAGATGCTCGCAGGGTGCACTATGCCGAAAGACGAGGTTGTGCAGAATGAACAAGCCGACTTCACGCGCAGTGGCCTCGGGAAGCGCCGAAGTTTCGGCGTAGTGCGTAAGGTGTTCCACGGCTACGACGACCCAGCGGTTTTCATTTGGTGTGTATGGTAGAGGACCGTACAAGTCGATTACGATGCGGCCGATAGGCCGAGAAGAACAAGGCGGTGGCTGGAGTGGCCCTGTGGTTGTGCGAGGGGAGCTCTTCTGGCGTTGGCACAAGGAACATGAACAGACGTACTGCCTAACAAAGCAGTACATTCAACGCCAGTAATATCGAATTCGTAGGCGAGCATACGTCTTCACTACACCTGCGTGGGCGCATTGCAGATCCGCGTGGAAGGAGGCACAGACGTCAGAATGTAGGTGGCGAGGGATTACCAGCAACCATTTGCGGCCATCAGATAGATAGTTTCGCCGGTACAGAAGACCGTTACGAATGGTAAAATGATAAGCAGTTCATCGAAGTAAACGGTTGTCGGTACGAGGAGACTTCTGAGACAGGTACTCTAAGAGAGACGCTATTTATGGATTCTGGCGTTGCTCAGCAGACATGTCGGCATGTTCAAGGGAAGAACATTCGCAGCTGCAAACAGACGCTGTAACATAATCATGATGAAATTGCGAGCGGGAAAGAGCGTTGGCGTCCGAATGCTTGTGGCCTGACCGATAAATTACACGAATGTCGTAATCTTGGAGACGTAGTGCACAGCGAGCTAGGCGACTAGATGGGTCTTTAATGACGACAATCAACACAATGCGTGGTGATCAGTCACGAAGCCAGATTTACGCTGAGCAAGAATAGCGCCGAGGTCAACTCCACTAGCGTCAGTATGGATTTCGGTTGGAGCGTCTGGATCAAAGTGGCATAGGATAAATGGTGATGTCAGAAGATGACGTAAAGAGGCGAATGCTTTGTCGCATGCTGGGGACCACACCGAGATGTCTTGGTTGTCGGCAAGTAGCTGCGTCAGGGTTGCGATTTTGGTGGCGAAATCGCGCACAAAACAGCGAAAATATGAGCAAAGGTCGATGAAGCTGCGGAGTTTTTTTTTTGTAGCCGGCCTTGGAAAGTCCGCGACAGCGCGAAGCTTGGCTGGATCAGGATGGACACCATGCTTGCTAACAACATGCCTCAAGATGGTAAGCTGACGGGCAGCGAAGTGGCATTTCTTTAAGTTCAGCTGCTGTCTAGCGTCCGAAAGACAAGTCAGGGCACTTGCA